TATTAAATAATCTAAATTATTTTAATCTATAAACTTATAATTTTTGTCTAAGTCATTTTAACTGACTCAATATTTTTAACTTCCTAATCAAAGTTCAAACATCTTAATTTTTTACTTGCAAAATAATAAAAAAATACACATTTCTAAGACCTCTCTGGAAGAAAAAGTGAGATAGAAATATAAGTATATTTATAGTATATTGTTATTACTAGTACAGTGGATAAGGGTAATTCTTATTGTCATTATAGGGATCAATTCCTGAACATCTATTGTGTACCACACACTTTTCCCACATACTGACTTTAACGTTATTATCCCAGATTTTGCTGAGGAATTATCTGCCTGCATAGGTTAATTTCCTTGCAAACTGGTTAAAATATTACAAATTTATTTTATCATTATCATCTTCTTTTCAGATTCATGGATCACTTTGATTTAATTGGCTCCCATATCTTTCTGATTTACAGCTAGGATTCCTTGTGCTTCTATTTTTACAGTCTGGTCAACTATTGCCCTCCAGAAGGGAAAAGTTATCTTTCACCAAGGCTTTCAGGATGAAAGAAGGGATAAAATGTATCGAAGAAAATGATTCTAATAAGAAAAACAAATCTCCTCTGCTTCCCTCCTATTTTCTGTGGTGTGTTTGTGCACACACACATGCAGACATTGAGATTTAGCTCCAATTCTTTCTACTGCTATTAGCCTCACAGTTATGGACTTTAAACAAAATTCTCTTTCCAGCATTGTCCACAAAAAAGTTACTTAACTCTTTTCTACCACCACGCATGAGTTAAACCATTTGTTTCAAACAACAGTATCAAGAAAGATCAGGACATATACATGATACATACACAAATACTTCTAACATTTATTCTACATTTACTGGCTTTTAATATTAGCTCAGCTGTGGCCTTTTCTAGTCAAACTATGTAGGTTTAAATGATTTTAATATGTCTATATTTTAAAATGTTGCCATTTAAAGGAAGAAACTGATAGTACTTACATAGACTTCACAGCAAAAAGGCGAATGAAGAAAATTCTGACTTTTGGAATTCTTTGTTTCCTTCTTGCCTGGTTTGCAGGTGTTCCATGGCATTTAGATTCTTATGGTCTTGGCATATCTTCAGAGCAGAGAGAATTACTGTTTTGTAAAATTGAAAGCACAAAAATGTAATTAACATTCCTGTTTTACAGTGTTAGTGATAGCAGAGAATTTATTATTTTTTAGGCATAAAATTATATATTAAATTGGTTATAAAACCTGAAAGGAAAAAGAATCCTCTAATTTCTTATAGTTACTAAGTCATGTTTTTAATATTTTACACATTAACCTATTCTTCTATTAAAAGAATGACTTTTTTCTTTGTTTAAAACCCCAAACATAAAAAATCCTATTATTAGCTTGACTCTATGTCAGTTTTTCTCTGCTTCCTCTACCTACTGTTTACATCTTGGCTTGGTTTCACACAACTTTACAGGCAAGAGAAAAAAAATGTTAAAACTATGAGAGAATTGAGTATATGAGTATGAAGACTTTCAACTTTTTTAAAGAGGAGAATTCCACTTTACTTGATGACAAAACATTCAGAAACTAGATTTTGAAAAACTAACATTTCTATGTTTCTTTGTGTTTTGAAATGTCTAGATAACCATAAATACTTCAAGAAGTAACTTAATTTTCCACTTTTTATTAGGGCATATAACAGCTTAGACAAAATGATGCATTTCCTGTGGGATTTTGTTTTTCAGAAATAAAAAATGTTCTTGAAAGTAGGGTATCTTTAGAAATCCAAAGAATTTTGCATACAGTCTTTACAGAAACACACACACAGACAAAGAGACAAAGAGAGAGAAAGAGAGGTCATATTCATACATTATTCAAGAATTAAGCAAATATTATAGCATAAACTGAAGTGCTGAAAGATTGAAATGCTGTCTAACCTGTAACAGCATTTCACGTCAGCTTCTAACCTAAAAAAGTGATAGGAATTCCATCTTCTTACATATTTTCAGCATGTTTGAGCACGTTTTGAAAATATGATTTTCTTGATCAGGTAAGGAATTATAAATAGAGAACTAAGCTGAAATTATGCCAATTTTCTTTAAGTGATGCTATAAATTTTTGTGCTAATGTGAACAGAATTATTAATAGAGAACTAAGCTGAAATTATGCCAATTTTCTCTCAGTGATGGTACAAATTTTTGTGATAATGTGAACCAATAACATAAATTCATAGGGTGTAAATATGTAACAGTTGTTATTGGTTGACTTCGGGAGATTGGAAGACTGTGTGGCAAATGACAAATTACAAAAACAAACCAACAAACATACAAACAAAAAAGCAACAACAAAAAATAGGGTCTGTTTTTACCAAGCTTTTTACATGTCCCAATGTCAGGAAAAGAGAAATAAACTATTACTGAGAGTTTTGTTCAATGGATTAGATCAGCTAGTCAACAAGTTGACCTCTCAGGGCAAAAGGTATGGCATAACCACAGAGTGAAAGCTCATAGGTCAAGAGCACCTCAGTTGTAGAATTAAGGGGTGAAGAAAGGAGGATTGTTGGACAAAGGTCAGTGTGAATATGAGCAAGAAAACATCAAGAACAGAACATTTCCACCAAGAAATTAGGAATACCTGAAGGGTCTTTCAGGAAAGAAGACAGAACTGATCCATTTGACAGAGATCTCAGATAACTAAACATAGAGTTCTGAGTAACAAATGCATAATGTGGTGGGAAAGAAAAGGGGGGCTTGCAGTAAAATAAATGAGAAAATACAAATTCCAAAAGAAAGGATTTGCTTTTGGCAAGTTACAGCTCTTTTTGCAGCCAGTCCAAAAAGATGATATAGAATAGGTATAATGGTTTATTTCTTCATTCTTTCTTGTCCTTGAGAATTTGAAAATACTTGCAAGTTGTAATTTAGGTGTTGCTATTTTTTAATATTCATCATGATAATCATCAGTATAAGTACATTGAGTCCCTGTTGTGTTTTGCGATATTATCTGAATCATGACTTACCTATAACAAAATGAACTAACTAATCTGGCATTAATTGCATATTTAAGGTTAAGGTAATATTCTTGGTTTACTCCATTGTAATCCACTGACATCTTCAGTTTAGCATATCTTAGAGCAGTTTAGATGTATATTGGGCTGGAAAAAGAGGTGTGGGTCAATTCAGCTTAGGGCCTGGCTTCAAAGCCAGTCCATTCATGGTGTAATGTGTCTAAACTTCCTTCATATTAGAACTGGAATTTGGTAAACAAAACCTACTGAATGAAAGAAGGAGTAGAAGTGGGGATGGGGGTGGGGATTAAGGCATTATATATAATTTGGCTGCCTGTATAACCAGGAGCAAAATGAGAAAGAAAAGTGAGTGCTGGCATATGGAAAGCAAAGTCTGGTAATAATTAATTGATATAAAACAGCTTTACCCAATTGTCAGACATTTCAATATCCTTGTATTCAAAGGGATACTGAATTTTAAAACTATAGCAATTTATTGTGTGTCACATGTCCCACTTGATCACACATTATGTTAATGTTCTAAAATACGGACAATTAAAAAAAAGATTTTTTTAAACATTTCATTTACTTCAAATAATTTTCAAGAGCGAGTTTTTAACCAAAACCAGCTGTATCTTCAAGTTTCAATCATTATTATGGAGTAAATTCTAAGAGTGCTTTGATTGCTTTAATGTGGTTTAATTTTGAACATTCTAGTAAAATCTTATATAGCACACAAATGGAAAAGCCTAGTCAGTCTTAGAAAAGCCTTTAGAGCGTTATTTTCATTATTATTTATTTTTGTATCCTTCCTTCATATTGAAGTTCCTGAATTCATTTAAGGCATTTTCCACCAAATAACTTTCTTCAAGGTCCTTGTGAACAGCGGACAGCCAATCAAATGTTTTATTCAGCAAATGCATGTTAAACACACTCCTTTAGACTTGAAGTACCTAATAATGGTAGGAGGGTAAATGAAGTATTTTCTTTTCCTACTTGGAAGGGAAATTGAAAGGTAAGTAATTCTATGATCAATCCAAAGTCTGCAATTGATGCACCGTCTATGCCACAAGTGTCAATTGATCAAAATTTTTTTAACGTTTTATTTTTTTTTACTCTAAATACATGGAAAAAAGAGAGTGACATAATTTAGTGAAATAACATAAATTGAAAGTTAGATTTGGGCCTGGATATTATTTCCACGTTGCAAGAATTTAATTAGCAGATTTTCATTTCCTTCCTCTATAAAATGGGAATACGTCCAACATTTTTAAGTAGTTTTGAGGATAAGAAAGGGTGTAAGTGATAATAACATACTACTGTTGTTAAAGTAAATTAAAACGGAGACCAGGTTTGAAGAATTCCTGAGCAGACAAAAACAGTTAGGTTTCATAAGTGACCTAAACATTGCTTGACTTGCAAACATAAGCAAAACTTAACTTGAGTTTTTTCTTGTAAACGCCTATATTAAAGAAAAACAGAACATAAACTCAACCAATCAGAAGTAGCCAACAACCATATAATCAGGACATTTCAATGGGGCAGACCAAATAAGGCAATTTTATAACTGTAACCAATCAAATATTCTCTTTGCTTTACTTCTGTGTCCATCCTATAAATGCCTGCTGCTTGCATTCCCTTGGTGGTACTCCTGAACCACTTCTGGTTTGGAGCTGCCCCAACTCATGAATTGCTTCTTACTCAAATAAACTCCTTACCATTTTATTGTGTCTTAGTTTACTTTTTAACACTGTTTATTATCCATCTGGCACACAGTGATGAATATCATCTGGAATAAAAGTAAATATATAAAAAGTAGAATTTCAGTAAAAGGAAGATGTAATTGTATTTTCAAAAATCCACTTAAATAGTGCTTTAGCCCTAAACAACAGTGTATCATATGACTTACTTATAACTGATGCTGGACTGTCTAGAACTGTATGTTAACTTGATTCAAGTTATCATTTATGTTTCCTGATATCCCAGGAAATAAGTTTTATTTATTTTACTAATGCAATATTTTGAAATACATATTTTTTCTTTATCTCCATTTCCTGGCATATAGTTCCTAAAAACGCTTAGACCCTCTGGAGTGATGAGAGTCTTTTGTATGCTAATGAGATGACTAGGAACTGGGAGCCCCTAGATGACCTCATAATGGGGGCTGTCTACCAGGGGAACCAACCATGTGATTAGAAGGTTGGAACTTTCAATCCATTCCCCAACTTTGTGGGAGGGGAGAGGGGCTGAAGTTTGAACAAGTAAACCAATGAGCAATGATTTAATCCACTGTGTCTACTTAATGGAGTGTCCATGAAACCCCAAAAGACTGAGCTCACAGAGCTTATGAATGGCAGAACATGTGGAGGTTTCTGGAAGGTGGTGTTTCTGGAGAGGACACAAAACACTCTGAGCCCTTTCTCCCATACCTCTCCCTATACATCTCTTCCATCTGGCCCTTCATCTGTAATATCCTTTACAATAAACCAATAAAGGTAAGTGTTTCCTTGAGTTCCATGAGCCACTCTAGCAAATTAATCAATTCTGGCTGGTTAGAAGCATATGTCATAACCCATGCTTACAACTGGCATCTGAAGTGGGGGCATTGGTTTGAGACTGAGCTCTTCACGCTGTGGGATGTGATGCTATAATTCAATTAGAGAACATCTCGCTGGTGAAAGGAATCATTGCAGGAAAATTGCTTGTGTTGTGTGGGGTAAAAATACACACATCTGGGAAGAAACCTACACACCTGGTATCAGAAGTATTGTGCTATGACTGATGGATTAACAAAAAGTAATTATTTTTCTATATCTATCTCTAGAACTACTAAGTTAGTCACATCTCCTGGCAGTGCACAGTCCATTTAGGGACTCTTCTAGTTATAACTTCACTAAAGGAACAGCTCTAGTTACTGTATGCCAAAGCAGAATCTCCTCGTAATAAAAGGCTCTGAAGTTAACCTAAGACTCACACTTTTTATCAATTTAAATGTACATTTTTTTTTTTTTTTTTGAGACAGAGTTTCGCTCTTGTTACCCAGGCTGGAGTGCAATGGTGCAATCTCGACTCACGGCAACCTCCGCCTCCTGGGTTCAGGCAATTCCCCTTCCTCAGCCTCCTGAGTAGCTGGGATTACAGGCACGCACCACCATGCCCAGCTAATTTTTTGTATCTTTAGTAGAGATGGGGTTTCACCATTTTGACCAGGATGGTCTCGATCTCTTAACCTCATGATCCACCCGCCTCGGCCTCCCAAAGTGCTGGGATTACAGGCTTGAGCCACCGCGCCTGACCTAAATGTACATTTTTTATTTGACTTCGATGTGTTCTGGCATCTGGAATCTCAAGAAAGTCTTCTGCACTTACTTTGATAGCACGTCTACTAAAATTGGAACAATACTGGGAAGAGGAGTATGGTCCCTATAAATAAAGAAAAATAATCTTTTTGGTTAGGTTTAAGAAAATTTCTCAAGCAAGTGAAGAGGATTTTTTTCTCTTCTTTACTAAAGCAGTCCCAAAGAAGTTCCATGTATTTTATAGGATCAGTATTGACGTTAAAATTTTTGTTATGGGAAATTTAGTTATAGACCCAAATATCTTCTTCAGAAAAACTAAGTGCTGGCTTCTGATCTAGTTCACACTAAAGCAGCCAATGCTATGAAACAACTTTAAATGGTAAAGGATTTTGACCTAAAAATACAGACAGTGGAACAACTAGTGGTAGAAACTGAAATTAACAAGAAAGGAGGGGTGAGTAGCTACACAGTCATGGGATGGCCTGATAAGCCAGTTATGAGGACTTAGAAACCATTGGGAAATAAGATGAGTCTATGGGATCATGGGGTATGGGTGCAGCAGGCCATTGAGTTCAGTCAGACCTCTGCTGGCCACATTTTTAGCCATGATAAGCACAGAGGTGGACAGGTCACTTCTTTTCAAAACTGACCCCACTACTAGGTGATAAATTATATAGTTCGTTTACTTAAAATTGCATCATTTTTCTAATTCTTATTAAGATTATCCTGATAAGAAAAAAAATGTGTACAACAAGAGAAAAATAAAGTGACTAAAAAATAAAACAATATGCACAGTATGCAGGGGCAGGGAACAGAAGTAATCAGAAGGTCCAAATCACATTCTTGATGAACCCTGAAGTGAAGATCTTCAGTTTCTTTTGACAGTGCTCCTGGAATTACATTGGTTTGTTTCTGTGATGGTTAATTTTATGTGTCAACTTGGCTTGATGACAGTGCCGAGATATTTAGTCAAACATTATTCTGGATGTTTCTGTGAAGGTGCTTCTAGATGAGGTTTTCATTTAAATCCCTGGATTCCGAGTCAAGAAGATTACCCTTCATAATGTGGGTCAGCCTCAACTAATCAGATGAAGGCTTGCATAGAACAATAGGCTACCTCCCCAGGCCAAAGGAAATTCTACCTCAGCTGGCCTGTGGACTCTAACTCCAGCTTGCCAGTCTACACCATCAGGTTTTGGAATTGCCAAACCTCCAAAATCACGTGAGCCGATTTATTAAAATAAATTATATACTTATACACACATACACATGCATATACCCTATTGGTTCTGTTCTCTGTAAAATCCTGACTAACACAAGTTTTGGTACTGAGGATGAAGGGCAGAATCACATTCTTGATGAACCTTGAAGTGAAGATCCTTAATTTATTTTGGCAATGTTCCTAGAATTACATGAGTTCATTTCCTTTTCCAAAACTCTGATCAGTCTTCAATGATGATTGGCGATAACAGATTTCTGGTTTCTAATTACAGTAGTTTGCTTTATTTGCTCACATATACATTCAAAAACTTCTCTTTACTAGCCTCCGTCATTTTACTCAAGTTATATATAAGTTTTTTCCCCTACTATAACAATAACCTAACTAGAATACCAACCTTCACTGATTTCTACAACAGTCTTTATTCCAACTGTGTGCGTGTGTGTGTGTGTCTAAAGGGGAAGATCCATTCTTTCTTATCTGTGGAGTTATTATGAGTTTCAGACAATTTGCCTTCTATAATGTATTTTGTTTTTCTGTCACATAAAATTTCTTGTATGCATATTTCACCATGCCAGCTGGCTCATCAACCAGCTTAGGCAAAAACAAACCTTAGTGTAAAGGAGCTATAACACTGACAATTGGGTTACCTTTTGAGACTTAATCGAATTCAGAGAATAATATGTGGTCAAGAGGAATTATAAATTTATTTGTTAAACTATTTTGCTGCACCAGTATATAACTTGGAAATCAATCAGAATAAACATACTCTGGAGTCAAAAGACGTCAGGTGAATTTGAGACTCAGAAAAATAAATTATATAATCAGCTTCCACACCCGTAAAGGGCTGGAGTTGCACCAGATATCCTCTAAGAAGTTCCTTCTAATCTAAAACAAGATAATATTCTCTTCATTTTATAGAACAAGGTGAAAATCAGTCAAGGCAAATACTGACAATTAATTTGTCTGCATTATTTAGTTAGATTCCTAGAGAACTAGTTACAATACTTATTATAATCCTAAAATAAAATATGCCAAGAATAAAGTGTTGCAGTTCTCTGAAGCTTGTTGCAAACAGATTTTGTTCTACAGGGATTAAGATGATGCTTGAGACTGATATTTGTAGAAGACCTGACCTAATGAGATATATGCAGGGTGTCCTGCTTATAATAATTTTCTAATAAATATGCCCATTGTCCTCAAGGGAAAGCATATATCGGAAATTTTACAATACAAAATAATGGGACCTAATATGAGGTGAGTAGAGTAGGACAATTTCAGAGCAGACTACGCAGTAGAAACAAATAAGATAAAATAAACCAATAATTGAATATTCATTGGGACCCACAATGTGCTCAGCATTTGTGTCCATAAAACTCCAGGGCAAGTATAAAAATTCACCTCTGCATTTGATAAGATTATATTCTATTAGAGAGACAATGATGATGATTATACTGATAGTGATGATAATGATAGATATCAAATTTGTGTTAACTGCTTACTCTGACAAACACCTTTCATACAGCAAGTTATTACTCCTAATGAGCCTACCAGTTAAGTACATTCACAAAAATAATAAAAATTAATGCATAAAAATTAATTTGCCTTAGGGTTTTGCTAGGTTAATGATTGATAAAAACAATATTTTATAGTAGATGTAACTAGAGGCTATACACTTAACTGTGGTTGTACTATACTAACAAAATGAAATAGTAAAAAACCCTTTTTTCCATTATGCATTATATTTGGTAATATATTTATTGCTAAAAAAGGTTACAAAAGGTGAATGCTATTACAAGCCAAGATTTCATGGGGAACATGGGCTATGAGCCAGCCTTTTAGTGATAACTATGATTTAGACCATCTAATGGAAGAAGCCAGAGTATTCTAGAGTAAGGGATGGTGGGAAGACTAGGAACAAGGTTATAGATAAATTGATATGATATGTATGGGGTACAAAACCAGATGGCATGTTTCAAACAAGGATGCGGACAGTTTTTTTTTTTTTTTGAGACGGAGTTTCGCTCTTGTTACCCAGGCAATGGCGCGATCTCAGGTCACCGCAACCTCTGCCTCCTGGGTTCAGGCAATTCTCCTGCCTCAGCCTCCTGAGAAGCTGGGATTACAGGCCCGCACAACCATGCCCAGCTAATTTTTTGTATTTTTAGTAGAGACGGGGTTTCACCATGTTGACCAGAATGGTCTTGATTTCTTGACCTCGTGATCCACCCTCCTCGGCCTCCCAAAGTGCTGGGATTACAGGCGTGAGCCACCGCGCCCGGCCCAGGATGGGGACAGTTAATGTGAATTAAGCTAGATGAATATGTTGCAGCTACACAGTGGAGAACTTTGAGGGCCAGAGAGAAGCCTACATGGCAGGTACATCTTAGATCGATTTAAGGAAGGGTACACATGTGTTCTTAGAAGAGTAGTATCATGTTACAAGTCATGCTAAGGTACACAAAAGAGTTGGCAGCAGAAGGACCCAAAGTTAGAGAAAGCAGTTATCAGTTTATTACAACAACTGAGGCATAAGGTGATGAATGAAGGTCTTGAATAAGAATATGATCAGGTAGATAATAAAGAAAATTTTAAATGAGTTTTTTAAATTTAATGGTGTGGAATATTTTTACCAAAAAAAAATTCTAAACGGATTTAATATTTACTTTATCCCCATGGAATTCTGTTAAGGAAATTAAGCTTTAATGTTGGCAGCTATAGCATTCAAGCAAGAAAGAAAGCTTTCAATAATTGGAACACATTCAACTTTTTTCAGGACATCATAGTTTTCACTGAAATTGAATATTCTCTACTATACCAAATTTTCTTAAAAACTCAAGGCCCCTTGAGTGCATTAGACATTTCTGGAAAAAAGCTGGGATACTAATACCTTCAAAGAATACAAAGCTCATTTTATTGAAAAGAAATTACACTTATTGAATTGCCATTGTATTAACCTGAAATAGTCCTAATGACT